AGGCTGAAATGTGTCTTTTTCAATCGTCTTGCTCACTTTACTGTAATTGCTGACAATGGGTAATTTGTTCATTGTTATTTATAAGTTGAAAGGTTATTAATTTTTCTTTTGTTTTGGGGGGTATGTTAAAATGAATGATTATGTGATTGCAATTTTGCACCGAGGATAGCCTGAGTGGCTCGGCCACTACAGATGTTTAAGTCAGTCACTGACTTAACAGTCCTTATTAACACCAACAAGTTTAGATGTACGAAATAAAATGGTACAAATAATGTTTGCATACTTTACGTACATGTACAGAGTGCAAAGAAAGTCAGTTTCACAGCTTCGGGGAAGCTGAAGGTAGCATTTAGTAGCCCAGATGTCATTTCAACTAGCCCCAACACTTTTGGTGAGCAGAATTGATTTAACACTGTTATTCTGTCATGTGAATTCCTCAAAAACTTGACTTACCCATAGGCCCTGGGCTATGGGACACTACTTTCTTTGCAGGCTACTGTATTATAGTACAAAGAACTACAATGAAGGAGAAAAGAACTTGGGACTGTGTGAAAAAGCCCTTCAAGTAACTGTTACATAGGACTCTGCTCCTAATGACAATTTTTGATCAGCTTTGGGCTAATTCCGTCATCCCCCCACTCCCCCCCAGCAATGTTGTGGCCAAATAAAGCAGTCAATTCCACCCATTTGCTCAAAATTCAACTTTATTTGGGGTGGGAGGGGAGAGGGTTTGCTAGTTTTACTAATATCACTGAAAAGGTCCCAACACTTTTGACCTCCATTGTAGATGACATTTTCTAACAACAATTTCATTGCATTGTTATTTTTGAAATCAGTTCATGAAACAACCACAACTAAGTTGATTGCAAATTTTGTAAATCATAACTTAACCTGAATTTCAGACGATTACTTTGAGTCATCTCCTCTCAGCAATCGTCTGAAATTCATGCTGATGTAACACTTTGATTTCTTTACTTCACAAAATGATGTAAATGTCTTACAATAAAAGCATAACACTGTAACAAACTAAAGGAGTGGATCAAGAAAAATAATCTATAATCCCCTGAGTGAAGGTTTTTAGGTTTTCCCCCTACTCTCTTTTTAAAATTTGGCCTTTACAACCACCCTCCACATGAAATAAGCCTATTATTGACCTTTCTTGGGGTGGAAATGGATATGTTATGGAAACATGAAAAAGATGGTTGCCGACTCCGTTCATGACTTAGAAATAACAAAATATTATAATAAAGTTCTGAAGAACTAGAGAAAGAACAAACTGGGGAAATACAAGTCTAGCTATTCTCGTGAGATGCAGAACACAGTTCCATGGTGGTTGTCTCATTCGGGTCTGTACCCCATGTACACACCTGTCTGCGAAGGATAATGTCTGCGCACAGTTTTGACCACACACGAAGGACAGACCTTTCTGTTACCCTTCCCTAGATGTCCATAACGATCAAGAATAAATTGCCTGTATGCAGCTTTCCTGAAGGCCCTTGTACTGTTATCATCACTGTGCTGCTGCTCGATTTCTAACACATCTGGGTCGAGACAAAGCTTGCTGAACCTTGCAAATGTTGTAACACATCTTCTCTGACCACAACAATACAAAAACTACATTTACACCAGGGAAGTGAGTTTGATGCAGCAGAAGGGTTAGGTACTGGTCCCGCAACTGCTGAAGCATGTTGGCTATCAGTGGATTCACACTCCTGTGGGGTTTCTCTGTACACATCAAAATGCTCACTCTCAGTGTCACTATCATTGTCATAGTCCATAATTAGCAGACTATATATGTAGTCCATGCTCCCTAATCCACATTGTAGACTTCTGACACACAGTTTGTGCACCATTGGCTCATCCAAAGTTTGAATACAGTCCTGTCAAAGAGAGGTAAAATATCAGGAAAACAAACAATAGTGTATATTTTTGTTCAGTATAATGACTACATTTGTAGAGGAGAAGTGTGACACTAAAATGTAGACTGACAAGGTATACTGCCATACCAAAAAAAACAATCGGTGAGCATTTATCCAAAAATATATTAACACAGTACAGGACCTCATAATAATTCTGCAGGACAGATCGTGGGGATTACAGCACATTTCCTTTGCTAAAACAACAAACGTTTTCTCTCCAAAGATTGCAAATTTGCACCTCTTTCAAGAAATTTGTATAAAAATCAACAATAGATCCAACATTTTATCAACCTTTCGAGAACAGATTACCTTGTTTCGACACGGCTTTGACTGAGACCCACATTTACAGTCCTGCCCACATGACACTTCGGTACTTGTTCTTTTTGTCGAGCAAGTGCTCTTGCATGTGCAGTAAATACAATTCGGCTACAAAAGAGAACATACACGACAAGTTTGTCAAGACTAGTATTCTTAAATGTTGCCCAAAATAAGAAAAACTCTCAGGAAATCTCCGTACTGGAGACATTGTGACATGGCGATCTATCGATAGATAGGAAGCGATTACTAACCTGACGAGAATCGTGCGCCTCCATGGCTTACTAAAACGGCGAAAGACTGACATGGTATTGTAGTTTCTCTTTAAGTCCTCAAAAGATGTAGAAAATAGAGGTTTGCTGCCAAAAATCGACCAGGTTTGTTAAATCCAATATGGCGGAAAGTACCCTGCGAGCAGAGGCTACATTTTCGCGGTATGAGCTGGCGTGCGAAAAGTAGCCTCTGCCGACAACCGTTCAATTTTCTATCGTGCATGCGCAAAATTCGTCACGCGATTCGCAAGCAACTGGTTCGTCCTATCTGCGTGAGTTTCGCGGGAATCAAACTTGCGAAAACTACCTGCGAACTACTCTCCTCGAGCTTTTGTTTTGTTTATCTGCATCGCCCCCTCTGGTTTTAAGTATTTTAGCCGCAAAATTTCCACGGATCGTCTTTTTTAGGAAAGTATTTTTATGCTATCAACTGTAGTAAGTTCTGTCTGTTTTGCGGGGAGCACATTTTTCCGGCTTTAAAATGAAATTCGCAGACAACGCTACGCAGAAGTGATGCTTGAAATAAATTGGATGCTGTAGTCTCACGAATGTGTTTTAAACTAATGTTATGAATGAACATAGACGAAACAGTAGTCAGAAATATTATTTATCGAAAAATTTTATTCGAAAACCCACAATTTTATCGTTAAAAGCAATTCGCGTAATACCAACTGGATCGTGGATCATTTCACGCAAGTAAAAGCTGCCGAAGACATCAAATGTCAACGCCAAAATCCGTCTCAAGTCGTATAACGCATCTATGAAACAACTATAAATACTTAAATTTCCATTTAAAAACGGAACTTCCTTGACCATTAATGTGCAAGTTGTACCTGAAAATTCTTTAAAAACTTTGCCGCTTTGGTTCTTTCTATTATCCATGGTTCTTTTCAGAACAGGACAAGCGTTCCTTCGTGAAGAAGCCAACCAGGTTGAAGTCCTTGAGGGCGAATCAGTGTTCAGTAAAAAGCTTTTTTTCTGCTTTTTCCACTAAAAGAAAACTGATAGATGATTCTTTTGAACAGTCCGGTTCCCATCTGTGTCTTAAAACAGTGCATTTAGCCTTGCATTGAGAGGCGACACAAAAATCACCGCAGTATCCATTTTCTTTTCCTGGCAAACAAAAACTACCATATGATAAATTAACGATCTTTACACGGTCCCGTAAGAAGCACCGGCAGCAGCTTGTTTCGGTATTCCGACAGCTTTAAAATACAGAGCTTATTCAAGTTGTTGACGACGCTCTTTTAAATACATAAACAGGGATTTTCCTGTTGCTACGTTTGAGCTGTGTTGATCTGCGTTCGTGTGCGAGAATTTGGCGCGAAGGGACGCATGAAGACGCAATAATGGTCAGCGTTCATTCGCTGACGTAAGGCTCACGCAATGCTCTAAACCGGTCAAGAACAAGAAAAAACCCGGTTTTTTAAATTTATTCGTCCAGATTTCTGGACGGATTTGAACGGTTGTCGGCAGAGGCTACTTTTCGGACGCCAGCTCATACCGCGAAAATGTAGCCTCTGCTCGCAGGGTAGGCGGAAAGTTGAGAAAATCAGCAGAACAGCCTAAAACGCTGCACATGCGCAGGTCGTGACATAGCTCCTTTAAAACATGATTTCAGCGTGTACGTGACAAAAAATTATGAATCAAGTGACAAGCAAATATCGATCATTTCGATAGAAAGCCGTTTTAATACAGATCGTTAACTCAAGCAATGAAAATGCACAACAATTGAAGGGAAAATTTACTATTCGGTGATTGAGTGGACCTCGTCAATAGCGATAGCTGTAACTTGCTTTCCAAGCTTTCCTTTTTGAAGTCCTTTTGTCCATTCATTAGACAACCACGATTTGGCACTTCAGTAAACAATTTCACAGCTTCCACTTTTAACGGCTTCATCCATATCTCCTCCCATCATTGCCGCCGCTACTCCGATTTTGTTCAAATATTCCACTTGGTCTTCCATGATGGTAATCAACGGAGTTACCACAACAATCGTAAATGGCATTCTATCCTTTCTTCATTCCAACGCACGCTTTATTCGAGGAAAAAGCTGGAAAATAAGAACTTTTCCAAAGCCAGTCGGTGAGAAATTGCTAAGACATCTATCCTACCGACTACGTGTTTTAAACAGTTTCTTTGCTGTTCGATTTTAGCCTCCACGTTTGGAAAGTCACTCAGCGCTGTGTTTGTTGCGAGTTTGAATTCTGCGTGACGGCACGTAGAGTCTCTCATAACGGCCATATCGTATGTCTCGCTGTGATCGAAGACGCTCCACTGTTGACAAAAACTGTCAAAACCAACCAATCAGAGGGTATACCAGGATCTGGTATACCGGAACGCACTTTTGTTAAAAATTCTTACAAGCGTTCCCGCACCTCTCTCCCCAGTCCCCCTCTACTTTTCATCGCTTTCTTTACTCCGCACCGCTCTCCACTATCTGAACGCTTGGAACAGGCTAGTGATACCATACGATGTTAAAACCTAGAATGCA